GGACTCTCCACAAAATCCACAGACCTTACGTTGCATTGACTTAATCCTTTATCCGGGACTGACCGCCCGGCAGATCCTCTCTTCACCATTCTCCCCGACTCTCTCCCACCTATTCTTACAGGTGCCTGCCTGTCTGCTGCGCACTCCTGCACAACCGCATTGACGAACTTCGCAAACCCTACATAGCATAATTAGGGTTTAGGGTGTGGGGTTTCAAACCCTGCGAGCTCAGACGTGCTCGGGGGAAAGGCACGCGCATAAACCGCGGCAGGCAGATCGCGCAGAGAGGCTCACAGGAAGGCCATACACGCAGTCAGGAGCAGCCAGAAGGACAAGTAAGCTGACATCTCTCTCGGTGCCCGTGTGTGTCTGTGTGTGCAGGTCGAGATGGCGTGTTGTACCAAGACCCCGATGCTCGTTTGTGTGCCAGAGGATTGCTCTCGATGAGGGCTTTGCTATGCGCCGACCAATTGGCCTCTGCGGAACTTCTCTCTGACCCCTCCCTCGCCCATTTTTCCATCTCCGCAGGCCCGTGTTTGGCTCTGTGGGTGTGGTCTGGCCCATCCATCACACGGGTCGAGTGCATCAGCTCATGTGCCGCACAGGTGCCAAAGGAGAAGTCAGCAACAGCCCCATACATAAGAGCACCGACGCTGGCGGGATTTTCACGTTTCTGACTGTAGGGTTACCTTTGCCGAGTGTCTGCAGCCCGACAGACACCTGATAGACAAGGAGTAAGACTAGTCTGCTCCGGGGTGGTCACTATGGACCAGGATACCGTCGAGAAGAAAATTTCACCTGTGTACTTGACCCCGTGAGCCGCCCCCCACACACACACACCGGTTCTGTGTCTGTGTGTGTGTGTGTGTGTCTGCGTGTGTGTGTGTGTGTGTGTGTGTGTCTGCGTGTGTGTCCCGAGAAGGCTGATTGTTCCACACGTCCATCGATTCGATTAGACAAGAAACTGCTTCGATATGTCGTCGTAAGCGAGATTGGCGGGACGACCAGACACGCACCTCACGACAGCAGACGCACTGCACAGCAGTCATTCTCTACGCGTCTGTCTGTGTGTGTGTGAGCAGGACGGCGATCCGGTCGCTACGGGTGCGCGTCATTACTACCTACTTGACTCGGCATCACTCATTCATTGCAGCCGGATATTTCTGTTGCTCTGTTTGGATCTGTCGATGCCTTGCAGCGCACTATTGCTGAGTGTTGGGTGTGCACATGGCGTCGCGACATCGCGATGAAGCACGGCTGATTTGGGTGCTGGAAGTCTTGGAGCACTTGCAACCGCAGCGAGGGGAGGAACCAAGGCCAGTTCCGGTCCCCAGGGACCACCCAAGAGTTCACCAGTTGCGGGAGGGAGTGCGCGACAAGTTCTCGGCGTCTGACATGGTGATCTTTTTCTACGACAAGGAGCAGAAGATAGTCGACGGAAAGGAGAAGTGCCTGGTGTCCGAGGTGTTCGGCGAGCAAGGACTGGAACCGGATAATCCCATACTCATGCAAGCAGGTGAGCGCAGGATGACAAGCTGGGACGGAGTGGTAAAGATCTGGGACACGCAGAATCTGTGGCTCTTTGGTGTGTGTACTCAGTACGAAAGCGTCACGCAGGTGAACCCCCCATCAAGAAGAGCGGCACAATGTCCCTCTCACTGATCCACACCGTGGGCGGCCTCAACCACAAGTCGCGTCGCGACGTCATCTCACCAGAGGAGCTGACCGGCCCTTTCGAGGACAACGCAATCCCTCCCTATACCGGCGGCCCAGCGGACGAGATGTATGTGCGCCTGCATGTGCAGAGAGAGCTGCTGCAGAGGGTGGTGGAGGTGGCGAACAAGGCGAGGAAGCAGCAGCAGCGGTGGGATGTGAAGCTGACGAAGGGGATGGCAGTCAAGTCGGCTTATTCTGTCGAGCTGGCTAACGGCGAGATCATGACACTAGAGGGGAGTCCGGGCGACCTTTGCCTGATACCTCGTGTTTCCGCCTCTCGCCCAGCCACGACCTGCACTGGGAAGGTTGCCGTCATTGTGGACGCGATGGCCAAGGATGCGTCGTTCACCGACAGCCAACTTGATCAGCTGTCCGGCGAGATGATGGTGGTGAGGAGCTTGAGGGACCCTCCATCTGGGCGTGAATGTGATGATCCATTGGGGGTGGTCTGCAATGACAGTCAGGCGTGGGTTGTGTGGTGTAACGAAGAGCTAGACAGATCAGTGTGTAATCTGATCGTCAGTCAAGCACTCGACTACACTCAGCTTGCCAACTATCTTGTGCGGTTTTTGAATGGATTTCAGTATGAGAGATTGATAGATGCTCAAGACGACTTAGAGAGAACAGAAAGAACACACAAATGGAGGGTTCGGGACGAGGCAGTGCATCAGTCTGCTGTCGAATGGATGGAGTGCATGAAGGACGGGGCTTCGGATGAAATGCGTTGACTTTGCTATGGTGGTGTTTGCTTCGGTGGTTTGGCAGAGAGGCCGGGGGGAAGGAGGGGTCGTTGATTCAGTGTTGTGTGTGTTGGGGGGGGGG